TTCCCACTTGTGTTTAGATCTCCCAAGATGCATTTTAGTGCTTTGTGAGCTTAATTGAAATACTCTGTATTAATAATGTGTCCGGGGTGAGACAGATATGCTCTGATTAAATTAAATTGATAATAACAATTCATTTAACATTAAAGCGTCACTTTGAGAACACTATAGGAAGCACTGTAGTGCATTGTAGGAACGCTTGGACTCTAATGGAGTACTCATTAGGACCTATGTACAGTACCCAAAAAACAGCATCTAGTCCCAACAAGTATTGGAAAAGTCAAACTTCGACTCGTCTCAAGCTGATCTTTCTTTCTTTCTTTCCTTCCCTCAGGGGAGTTCATCATCGGCCGTGTCATTAAGGCCATGAACAATAGTTGGCATCCTGACTGCTTCTGCTGTGACATTTGCCAGGCTGTGCTTGCTGATGTGGGGTTTGTCAAAAATGCTGGTAGGTAAGTATCCCATCTTATTGCAGTCTTTATATAAGGCTGTGACAGCCTGTAAAGCAGGTGGTTACGCACACACGTCAAGCTGGTGACTCATTCACTCGCGTTTTAACAAATAACAGAATTCTGAGCAGCTGGGACAGAGTATGTCAAAATGTTATTTGAGGCTGCAGACTCACTTTTTCCTCCTTTCTCCATTTACCTCAGGCACCTGTGTCGCCCGTGCCATAACCGTGAGAAAGCTCGAGGCCTGGGCAAGTACATCTGCCAAAAGTGCCATGCCATCATTGAGGAGCAGCCACTGATCTTTAAGAATGACCCTTACCACCCAGACCACTTCAACTGCAACAACTGTGGGTCAGTCTTACCACTCCACCCCACTGTTAATACAGAAAACAGCACATTCTTGGCTTTAAAATATATTTTAGGTCCACATAATGATCTATAACAGTAGGTTCAAAGCCCTGTGCTCTTCTCTCTTTTATGTGTATCAATATTTCTCTGTGCGTAGGAAGGAATTGACTGCTGAAGCCAGGGAACTGAAGGGAGAGCTCTTCTGTTTGCCCTGCCACGACAAGATGGGTGTACCCATCTGTGGGGCCTGTAGGAGACCCATCGAGGGGCGTGTTGTCAATGCCATGGGCAAGCAGTGGCATGTAGAGGTTTGTGAACAAGACTAAGACTATTTGTCAGTACTGAAGATACCATGTTGGATTTGCCTACTCTAAAGAAAGCCATTAGAAGGTTGTTTTAGGAACCATGACCATGTTTACCATGTTCATGGTTTGGTAATTGTTTGGAAAGAAGTAAGGATAAGCAAATTGGCTTTTTTTTTCAGTAGTGATACTGATAGTAAGGAAATTTCAAGTGTGACTGATTTGAACATCATCTTTGCTTACTTGATGTGCCCCAATTCCTTAAGAGAGATATACAAAAGTATGTAAGTAAAAAAAGTAACAAGGTCAATGTAATTCTTTCTGTGTTTCTGTAAAACTTCCTCTGCACGTTGCAAGTTGCACTACAGGGAGTAAGCGTCAGAGTAACCACTGACAGGTAAATTATATTCAACGAATTTCATGCTGACCACCTTTTACAGTTGATATTATATGGCTTAATTTAATGCACAGGAAAATTCAATTCATTACATAAACCACTTAAGAACCAAAACACTGTTATTGAGCTAATTTGAGGCAGTAGGAGAAATGTGAGCACTTTTAAAAAAGATTATATCTCCTGAGGCAGAGCGCAGCAGATCAAGTTGTGTTCACCCATCTGGAGGCTGCTGAATTTTATTCTGTTTAAAAAGCCCAAGACTATCAACAGTGTATAGCAGTCAATTTGATGCTACAGACGGTCATTAGCTCAAATTAATGTTGTATCTAACCGCTTGAGGAACTTCATCTGGCAGGCTCCAGAAAAGCAGAGCTATTTAAATAACAGTGTGGGAACATTATAGAAATATTACAGTGGTTACTCCATAGGACATTTGGGCTAAATGTGATTAAAACAACAAAAGGATTACTATGTAAGTAATATTTCACTAAGGCAATTTTATAACTTAAAACATTTCTAACTTTTAACTTCAACACATTCATGCAATGCTTATGTAATATTTACAGTATATTTCCGACTACTATAAAGAAATCGGTACCCTCTCCATGTGTGTTGGCACCTGTTGCTCTTGTCAGTTTTACATGCATTCATTAGCAGCTCCCCATTTCCCTCAGTAACATTTGTTTTTGTTTTCAGCATTTTGTGTGTGCCAAGTGTGAGAAGCCTTTCCTCGGTCATCGGCATTATGAGAGGAAGGGGTTGGCTTATTGTGAGACTCATTATAACCAGGTGAGGAAAAACCAGCCATGTAAAGTCTTTGGAAGACATGACAGACATCATAAATTGTGTATAAAATGAATATCAACCCCTCAGTGCTTCACCAACTGAATTAATTTGCATTTGCTGAATACACACCTAATGTCCTTCTTTCTGTGCTGTCAAGCTCTTTGGTGATGTGTGCTATCACTGCAACCGTGTGATTGAAGGCGATGGTGAGTATCAGTGTAATATAGCTCATTTTCAGTACTGTGTTCTGAAAAATTTACATGAAATGTTTCTTGAAGATACAAAAGTTGAATGAACATAATTTCCTTATTTTTTTACCTTCTGTGATCCCCTCAGTGGTTTCTGCTCTCAACAAGGCCTGGTGTGTCAATTGTTTCTCATGCTCTACCTGCAATACGAAACTCACTCTCAAGTAAGTGATGTTTCCCATCAAAAGCTTATTATACTAACTAATCTTGTAACACTTACTACTTAACACCTACTTTAGTGATAGTCTTATAACTTATCTTTGTGTATTTCACTTTCCTGCTGCAACTTTTCCCCCTTTTCCTCCAATTTCTCTTCTTACACGCTTCACTTGCTGCGTCTATGGTAACTCAGAGATAAGTTTGTTGAAATTGACCTGAGGCCAGTGTGCAAGCACTGCTATGAGCGCATGCCTGAGGAGCTGAAACGCCGCCTGGCCCGACGTGAGCGTGATGCCAAAGACCGCAAGAAAAAACCTGCTGTCTGTCTGTAGAGTTATTATTCATTACAACTCACCACTCCGACCGTTGGTTGGTGCTATCTCTACCTTCCTTTTTTTCTGTGGTGTACCTTTTTTACTGCAGTTGTTTTGTGTTATTGCTGTTTGTGCAAAACCTCTTAAGTATGCATGGAAAATAAACATGGCCCAGTTGATGCTTATGATAAGGGCCCCAACTGATGATGGCGTTTATCATTGATTAATCTGCAGATTATTTTCTCATTGACTGCTTGTTTGAAATGTCAGAAAATAGTAAGAAATCACGTAAGACAGTCAAAGTTGACGTCTTCCAGTGTCTTGTTTTGTTCAGTCAACAGGCTAAAAGCCAAAGATATTCAGTGTAAAGTGATATAAAACAGAGAAAAACAAAAAACATGCAAAGAGAAACAAAACCTCATCAATTTGATAACACAAGAATAGCATTTAAAAAAAAAACTAAACAAAGAAACGCTGCAAGTTGCACAGAACACAACGGAAATTAGTTTAAAAATGTTTTTATTCTTAATAGAGATGAACTAAGGTTGTATGTTTTTTTGTTAATCATTCTGGTTGCATTATTCAGATTTGAATTGGTAAGCTAGTAATCAGTAAAGGCTATTGTTAGATTAACAGCACATCTGAAGTAATCTGTGAATCATGCAATCAGAATGTTAAAACTTCAGTAACTTTAATAGTGGGCTAGAGAAATCGGATTTCATATTTGGCAGTGACATGGTTTCTCTTTCCTTCTTTTCAGGAACAAGTTTGTTGAGTTTGACATGAAGCCTGTTTGTAAAAAGTGTTATGAGAAGTTTCCTCTGGAGCTGAAGAAACGGCTCAAGAAGCTGGCTGAGTCTTTGGGACGCAAGTGAGATGCTTCCAGCCAAACAACCTGAAAGTATGTCTACGATTTCTGTCTGCATTACAACACAAGGACCTGTCCTCTTACCAGTGCATCAATATTAGTAATTTCAATCTGGGATCTACTTAAAAATATGAATATATATCACTGTGATGTTGTCATAAAGGTGCCTCTTATCAGATGTTTTTTCTTGCTGTTTTTATTTTTATATATGCAAATGTTATTTTTGTTTTTTTTTTACATTCCTAAATTGTCCAAATTTGTTATTCTCCCCTAAACAAGACGTGGTGTACCAGTTTATGACGACTTTACCACGAGCATAATTACATACTGCATTATTTTAAATTACATGTGTGCCTTGAATATATAAACTATGTGTCTTAAAATGCAGATAATGGTTAAAATGTAACTTACGTTATAATACAGTTATGCCTAAGTAAATCTTAATTAGACAAAGTATCTAGTGAAAGCAGAATTTTGAGCATTTATACCTCAGTATGAGTAATTAAAAAGCAACCACTGTCTTTTATAGGATATTGCAATGATGTCTCTTCTTGCTAACAGGAAAAAAATAAACATGTTTAAAGAAAAACTTAAAATGAGCTATTACTGGGAGCAAGGCTAATCTCTTAATGAATCCAACCATGGATATGTTTACTAATCAACTGGTGGTGTTCAATCTTTGTGAAATGTTAGAAGTTTGTATGTAATGTTTAGAACCGGTTGTCTCTGAATTACTAATACTGTTGATTTGTCCAATTTGCCCTTTAGTCCTAATGTTTTGAAACATCAACAGCAAGCTGGGGCAATATGAGATCAGAGGGTGCTATTATGATTAGAAAGACTACAAATCCAAGTGTATCTTTTACCCTAACCCACTGATGTTAAGACCTCCAGTATGAACTGTGTGGTAGTGTAATGTTAATGCTTGTATTGTAAATGCCTGGGGTTTGTTTGTCTGATATTTTTAGCTAAATTAACGTTTGCAACTTTCTGAGGGAAACAGTTCAAAGGAATCCAGATGAAATGAACCTTCAGCTGATTATTTAATGTGAGAATACTTTGATGTTAAAGTATCATTGAGTCAGCACATTGCTTGGGTTGTTTGTACGTGCCACACAACAAAAAATGATGTTTGCTTGGGAAAGCATTTTTTATTATTAGAACACTTGCATATACATTTTATTTGCCAGAATTTACATCTGATTTGCCAGAAACAGAGAATTACAGTTTACTGTAGCACATATACTGTATTTGATTTTCTGCTAAATGATCAATAAAGTATTCCTAAACACATCATAGTGAATTTCTATCTAAATTCCAAATATACCTTGTTAACGCCTGTTTGGGCTCTGACATAAATGAAATCCCACCGTCTGCATTAAAGGCTTTCCACAACCTAAAAGTTCAGTTAATATTCTCAGACTTGGACTTTATTGAAGAGCTTACGTTAGTAAAATTGTAGCATGCATTATGTATGTATAGCATAGTTACATCACACACCTCATTATAAACATTCACAGAACCCAGAATGAACTTGCATTAAGTATAAAATAAAAATAAAACACAGCCAAAACAACAAGAACAACACTGAATGTGTAAAACCTGCAATCGAGTTTGCAATTTCATGCATGAAGGAGGCTTCTGTAAAACCATTTCAGCTTAACCCTTACAGCCTAAATCATTGATAGAAAACCCCTCAATTTATATCTTCATGCGCTTGTCATACTTTATGTTAGATAGAGTAGTAAAGGCAGAGTAAAAGACTGAAACTAGCTTATTTTTTCCTACAAAAAGGTCATGCAATATGTAATTATATATTTGCGTATAATATTACTGAAAATGATTCTGAAACCAATGGGAAAACAATAGTTGGTCTGTAAGTTTTCTTCAGGTAACATGTTTCACAGCTTTTTATCTTCTTGATCCATTTCTATTTGCCACATTTCCTTCACAGACAGAAGAAAAAAAAAAAACAGTGTTGTCTGCTAATACGTTTTTCACAGCTTACATTTTGACTTGCATTGTAGGAAGCACAGATATTATCAGTGACATTAACAATGGCTTCATTGAGTATTAAAGTGAGTCAGCATGCACAATGCCAGGACAATAAAACTGAAGCAGTAAAATGTGCTTTTCCTGCTGTGACCTGTCCAAATATCTGCAGTGAAAAAGACAGATGTTCAATCACTTAGGTAGCTTAGATAACTTAGGTTGGTGTATACATGATTGGACATGTAGGTAACACAATAGCTATCATTGTTGGGCTTGTACCCCTTAGGTTAACAAACATGCACATGCTAGTTACTTCACAATTCACAGGAAAATCACAATTTTTTATGCAGTCTTTTTGTTAAAAAGCAATTTATCACAAGCTCCTGTAGCTAAACAAAGTGAAAGCAATTACTTCACACTTAAACTCTCTAGTTTATGAACGTTAACTCAAACATTAATTCAAATTGAAACTGTAAACCAGTTAGGTGGACTGTGGTTGGCTTTAAAGTGCATTTGGCTGGCCTCTGCAACAGTATAACCATACTTGATTTTTTTTCTTCATGCAAGTATGAAGCTTACTGGTGGCTTTTCATCTGCTATAAATAATAACTGAACATTTGTAGGGGAACTTGGGGGGGAACTTGGGGGGGGAAGTGTGATAAACTAAAACTGCTCAGTCCAGTCACGCAACTCATTACAATTCAATTTGGTATCAAGGCTCAATGTCTCATCACCCCCCAGATGAGAACGCAGGGAGCGATCAATTGAAATGCCTCAAGGGGACTGTAGACAAGAGGTGTGTGTTGGAGTGGACGAGGGAGCAGGAGGAGAATATCTGTAGACATTTGAGTAACAGTTTAGCAGTGACAGTGACTCATTGGCATTAACAGACTGAGATATTAGGCACAAAGGTTGTGTATCTAAAGTATGAGCTGGTGTCATCATCATTAACTACAGCAGTGCAGATGCTGGAGAGGTTGCCCTGACTACTTTCTTTATGAGAAACAGGTCAGAGGAAAATGGTCAGTGATGCTCATACTGATATAAAAGGCACAAATGTTACACAGGAGAAGCTCTTGACAATAGTGTTGCACAGCAATCTTATTCCCAATAAACTGGTTTATAGCTAATTTTCAGACACACTATAGTGATTAATGTTTGACTACAGTGTTTAACAACCAGAGAGGCTAATAGTGACTTAAAAGAATATTTTATAACTTTGGTAAATATATACTCCTGTTCTTGTCAATAATTATCTCCTCGTCTAACTCAAGTCAAACACTGACACATTTTGCATTTAATTTTAAGTCATTTTATGATGATGAGCAACATGTAGGGGAGATCTGGACAGCTGGTTCTGGGAATGAGGTGACTCGCTCTTGTATTGTGGTCGGAGATGTGACAGGGAACTCAGGAAGTGCAGTCTGAAGGTTGCCCATTCACCGAAGGTCATGCCCAGGAGGACTTTAAGGTCATCTGCATCACCAAAGACCAGTGCCGAACCATTGAGGTCATTTTTTCTCACAATATCGACGTACTTACTGGGGAATTTCATTCTCGCCAACTAAGAAAAAGAAGAAAATATAAGTTTCATATACAGGAGTAATGTAATTTAGATGAGTTTGAACAAACTTTTGATTGTTGACACTGATCATTAGATCATGACACTGATCATGAGAAATGCCTATAAAAAGCATATTAATTCTCTAGTGGACTGAATAGTGGAACCTGATTGCAGGTGCAGTTGTAGGTGACAGGCTGCACACTTCTAACTCCTCAGCAGCGTTACCAAATCAACTGTGCCATGAAAATTCCTCATGCATGTGAAAATTAGATGGTGGTAGCTCAGGCATGATGGAAAAAGAGCAATTATTAAATTACTTATTCAGTAAAACACAAGTTGGTTGACTGCACTTTAAACAACATTTGTTCTGTTGTATTGCTGTGGTAGTATTACACCACACTTGCTGTTACCACCAGTAATCACGGATGTTGCCAAATCAACCAGGACTGAAATCTTAAAGATTATAACCTTGTAAATTCTTACCTCTGTACATACATCCTCTGTATCCATATTGATGAGAGTTGTGATTGGCAGTGGAGCTAGGTTCCTCATCCAACCAGAATCTCTCAGCCTGGATGTCCCTCGGATCTGAGCCATCTCCTTCCTAATTGTATGATCCAGGTTCACTGTCGTCATTTCAAATGTCTTCAAGTCTTTTAAAGTAAACTGGAAATCTACTTTGAGAAACTTTTCGAACATCTCAGGATCTCCATCCTGCTCGAGGAGTTCCTCAATCTGCCCACTCATCACATACAGCTCTGCCCTAGACTCACTGAAGACTTCCCATAAGGTTTTTGAATCATTAGTGTTGGCCACACCATCTCCAATGTCTGCTCTCTGCTGAGCATCTTCCACACACTGGATGATCCAGCTGAGGCGGCAGGGCCACTGATTGGCCAAGACCACCCATGCTGCAATGTATTCTGGTAGAGGAGACTCTTTCTTCAAGGCCATCATGATTATCGCAGTCACTCGAATGGAGTTGATCACTCTCCTCATAGACATGGCGTCATCTAACATGTACTTGTTTAGATTAATTTCATTGCTGTTCAGGATGTTGTTGACCAATTTCTCTACATCCTCCTCTTTTACATGCAGTGCTGGTGTAGTTTTTTCGATGAGTGGTTCTGACTGTTTTGTGTCCAATGGAATGAAGACTGTAGATTCATCTGTGGAAGATATCTTTTCAAGGTCCCCAGTTCTATGTCTATCTTCCCTCCGGATCAAGTTCTCAGGGAGTTCCGAATTGTGAGTGAGGCTGTGAAATAAATTGCGCTTTGAATCATTGCACAGTGGTGGGACTGTGAAAGCCAGAGTCACAATACAGTTCAACAGTGCATATGCTCTGTCCTCTTTGCTGAAGCAGCCATCTGCAAAGTTCACTTTCTGTACAAGAACATCTGGGTTGACGGCCAGAATGGAAATAAACGGACTTTCCTCATCTGAAAGCAGAATGTTGATGGCATCCAGAACTGCAACAATTTTTTGCGGGGAGCACCGGTCCAGATTGGTGATCTGCAGTACCACTCGGATCCGTCTTCTTTCAAACACCTCCATAAACTGGATGAAGCGAGACAGGAACCACATTTCCTTCCTCACTTCGTTCATGAAGCCTAGTTGGCTGCTGACCCGCTCGTTGTCCATCCCTTTCTTGATGTTCAGATCCTGGGTGAAGATGAGGTTCTTAGCCATCATAAAGGCAAACCTCAATGCGCTTGCTGCTGGCACTCCTAATGCAGCGATGAACACGCCCTCCAGCACACCCACCTGGCCTTTTGCATTCACCCCCTCCTCTGGTTCTATCTCGTTTTTAGGAAGGCCAAAAGTCAAAAGGAATACGAGGAGGGTAATTGGAACCACAAGAATGCACAGGATGAAAAACCACAGGGGGCAGCAGCAAACCTTTTTGGACCTCCAATTGTTAGGACCATCCTCCACTATCTGAATTTTTTATAGAATCAAAACACAGAAAAAATGAGAAGCAGGTTAGACACCACTCCCAAGTTTGTAGCTAGCAGCTTGAGATAGCACTGTTAGTCCTGGGTTTGTTGGTTGGTCCACCACTTTGGTCCGGATGACACCAAATTTTGTAAAGACATTCATGGTTGTCAGTCAATAATTAGGTTTAGGTTATCCCCTAACTTTTTTATCTAAAAATCCTATTTGTGCCTATTTATCCTTTGCAAAAACACAACACACCTTGCTTCATCATCTGGGCACCATGAATATATGTACACACACAGAGCTACTAGCATCACTGTGGACTCTTGAGAATAGTTAAGACAAATTACAAACCTTCTTCTTGACTTCCTCTTCTTCATCATATTGAGCCACACGGTAGAGTACAAGCTGTAATTTCCCAAAGTTCATCTGCATGGCATGAAACAGTCGTATGGCTAACCCGGCCCAAAGCAGGTCACTCCCTGCAAAATGCCAGGCACTAAAATGCACATAAATGAACCTGACATTATCATACTGCTGATTCTGCTTAGTCCAAATGGGCATGTAGAAGAGCAGTCGTCCAATGAGCGCTAGAAAGCCAGTAAATGAAGGGTTAGCTGAGCGAGGCCTGGGTTTTTTTTTGTATTCCTGCTCAATCCTTGAAGCCTCCTGGTTCATGTTCACTGAAGAGACATAAAACATAATATTACAGTAGTAATATTACATACAAGGATAAATCATTCAGCAAGTTTGGGTATCTAAGGATAAATTATATAAATTAAGACAGAGAGATATCAAATCAGTTAAAACAGTATATTGGGTTTTTAGAATGTTATGGGATTAAGTTGGTACATTTTACTTAATAAACTGCCCTGGACATGGCGCATCAATCCAAAACTTGTTCCAGGGAAAATAATCAGACTTTTCTGCATACCTATTCATATGCAAATGTTTGTGCTTTTAAAATAGTTCAAGTGAAGGCAACATGCACAATGGCAATTCTAATATAGAAGTGAATATCTGTCTTGCCACATTTCAAAGCTTTATTATTGCATGGACATTAATATGTGAGCATAAACATGTGCAATACTGTTTGCCAAGGTAACAAAAATGTCATTATGACAATCCAGGAGCTTCTGCAAGACCTTCTGGGTACAACAAAGAAACAACCTTAAACTTATCTTTTCTATTTGAGCCCTCCACTAAATGGAGTACATGCTCTATTCAGTGGTTCAGTGTCACATGTCTATTAAATGAAATGTGAAGGTTCAATGTCACATGTCTATAAAATGAAATATGTATTTTCACACTTGAGTCTAAACATATTTCCTGAAAAAGGAGACTCTGTACATTGACATTGAAATCATATTTGTGGAATTCTGTTGGGACATAATATGTGATTTTTTCTTACATTTCTTACATTTTTCAAAAATGTTATTTTTAAAGTTCAAGCAGCCACCTGTTTGTCATTCCTGAGGTAAAACATCCTTATAAATTTGCAGACAGTGGTTTAAACTGTAATTTGATGCTTTGCATTTTGCTCACAATTGCCCTCAACACTGAGGGGATTGTTATGTACATCTTCTGAAAGGGGCACACCGTCTTTTTAAGACAACCACTTGTAATTACTATACATCCCATATGACATAAAGTTGTTAGGGGAAATATACAACGTGTGTGATGGGGGCAAGACCTCAAGCTGGGACACACTTTTTCTTGCCATGCACAGTGTTTAGAAGAATTATGGTATGTGCACTTAAGGACACAGAGATCCTCTAGGGGCATTCAGAGCAGAAATATGTCCACTTGTGAAGAAGCCATGAGCCAGCTCTGAGGTGCCATTGTGTGTGTGATTGACTGCAGTGGCTAAGTCAATGCAAGAATTAAACAATACGTTGACAGTGTTGTGATGATATTGTGCTGCCACAGACTGGCACTGACACTGTCACAGGACAGTGGTTTATAAAATAAAAGCAAGAGCAAGAGCAGACAACAGAGACGACATGCTGGGATACAGCTAGTGTTAACATACCTTCCATCTGCTTAAGGATCATCCTAATTCGATTCTCACATGAAGAGTAGAGTCCTACAGTTGCAGGTGATGAAACTTTTGTCAGGGTCTTGGACAGTGCATATGCATAAATATCATCTGAAAGGAGATTTAAAAGAAAAAAAAACCCCGGCATGGTTAACCTTTGTATTCATATAAACTCGCAAATACACTTAGCCACATAGTCTTCTGTGAGCAATACAAGTAACGTAAAGTTGAAGATTATTTGAAGAATTTCTCACATTAAAGCTGAGAGAACTGGATCTCAGGTATATGCTCATAGAACTAATTACTACAGACAGCCTTTTCTTAGCTCAATAATGCTGAACTAAACTGAAACGACAATAAGCACACTCATGTCGGGAAAATGTTCACAGCATAGACCTTATTCACAGATGAGTGCCTGTGAACATTTACATTTTCAGTGGAAAACAGGAAGTAAAAATGCAGCCCTTAAACAGGAGTGGAGAAGAAGCCTACCTTATAGATTGTAATGTAGGTTATATTGAACTTAAACTTTAAACTGTAAATTTGGTATAAATGTAGACCTGACACACAGCAACTGCATTTGTCATCAAAAGTTAATAAAAAAATAGCTGGATGAAGACTCTCTGGATCTAATTGGCGACGTGTGTTAAGTCTGTTGAAGTCAAAACAATAACAACAAATTAAAAGGCCCATGTGGAGAAGGCTAATTCATCCCTTGTAATGATATCATTGTCATTACCCAGTTCAACAACATATAGACAATTGTCTAATCAGCATAATGGTATTATCCACAGTCAAGAACAACAAGTTAGTGTAAGAAACAATGAGCTCTAAATGCATCAAACAACAACATAGTATAGACATAAAGAATTCTAAAGAAATTGTAGAAAAACATAAATTAACCCACATCTTAATTCAAATTAAAAGCTTTAGTTAGAATATAATGAATATGTATATTAATATATGCTAACTGATTAATGACTAATATCTACCAATGTTTAATTGAATGTTTACAGAGGCTGGAGACACTACCCTGATTCCGACATTAGAAGCATTTATACTCAGTTCATGATAATGTTCAGTGTGTCTGTGTGCCTTGCATGATAATGAAACAGAAACTGAAAATGGAACCCTTCTGAGCCGGAGTGATACGTGTGATTACCTGCAGATAACTTACCTTTTGTTGGATGATACATGTTGACTGTGTGTTGGGACATGCAGCTTTCCCAGAAAACCCCTCTGGCCTGTGAGGAATAAGAAACAGCAGGGACCTCAGTGCAGGTGGTGAAGCGATGTGTGTCTCTCTCTCTCTGTCTGTGTTTGTGTGTCTGTGTGCTTTCCATTTGGCTACAGGCACCTCCCTTATTTCCACACATAGAAGGGCTGAATCTGGCATTATAATACGTATCACGATTCAATATATTGCGATTTATTGCGATACTGTAAGCTCGGCAATATATTGCGATTTAATTTTTAAAAAATCCAATCCTTGAGAATCGATACAATATCACAAAACAATATACAAGACGATGCAATACAATATTTTTCAATATTTTCTTACGCCCTTTAACTTTTGACTTTGAAAGGCAGGTAGGCTACAGTGTCCTATTAGCACTACTGCAGTAGCTGCAACCCGACTGTACTATTTGGACCCCATCTCTACCCTGAAGAACTGAAACAATAGAAACAGAGATGTGAAAGTACACAAATGAGCACTTCAGGAAGCTTGGTAGATTTGGTGTAAATAGTCCTGGGAAATATAAACATGCTGTGTATCATGTCTAAGCAGACAAGGTACATTCAGTCTCCTGTGATGGGGGAGCTTCAGTGCAAAAACATATACTGGTTTGACACTGTTGATTCAGTACTCTCAGCTGAACTTGAGGATTTGGTGTTGAATATTTGTTTGTTTAGAACAGCTATGTAGCTAAATGGAAAGCACTCCGTGTAGAAAAGCACGTCCTTGAAAGTGCTTATGTGACAAAAAGAAAGCCCACAACCCACAGTGATTGTTTTTAGTTCTCTTTCTGAGTGCTGATTGACAGGCATTTATGTGAATTGTTTTGAGATGATATCCTGACATTCATGCATGGCTGTGTACCCTCCTAGAGGTCAGCCTTTTTTTTTTATGAGCAAAGAAATGTCAACAGTTTTTGCTGTGTCAATGATTACCTTGCATTACTTAGTCCCTTTCCCTGTTGGCTACATATTTCCTGTTTGAGTTCTTGCCTGCACATGCCTAATAGCTTTGTAGACCGTCTGACAGAAGTACAAAACAGAGCTACAGACCTCTCTTTTTGATAAAGTTTATGTTTAACTTTGACGGTACAAAGTCTGACCAGTATGCGCAAAAGGATACCAAACTACAACTGTAAAACTTCTGTAATGATACCATAAGCTGCCATAAAATAATGACTGATATTTTATTTTTAAGTAGAAAGTAGTTTCTGTTGAAAAAACCTTACCTGGTGTCAGTTCCAAATTTCAGTCCTGATCTTAAATTTGATTAATCTCGAATCGTTAATTAAAACGTATCCAGAAAACAGAAAGGACAATGCAGCAGCAGCTAGGTGCGGTGAACCTTATACCCCCAAGACCTCAGTGCTATAAAACTTTACAACACTGATAAGAGAGAACAAAAAGGCACCTGATAACCACAGGCTATGTCTGTAGGCCGGACACAGGAAGTGAAGTCACAAACAAGATGCAATTATTTCAGAGAGATGGAGCTGTACATTCCTTCCATTCTCCTTTTCCAATCCGTTACCCCATACTCCTGCTCCCAATCTTCTCTCTATTCATAGAATCGGAGTGAAGTGGGTAGTTCCTGAAAGCATTACGAGGTAGAAAAATCCCCCCATTCTTGCAATGGCTCCTGGCATTCACTGTCCAACTTTTTCAGTCCATGGAAAAATGTAACAAATGAGTGATTTCATGCTGGAGCCTGGAGTCTGCATGATTCATGAACTGAATTCCTAGTTTGGAGTCCCCCAGGTTGAGAATGGCTGGATTGCTCTGCCTGGCCTGAACTGACATGCATAGCAGTTAAGATGCCAAAGCAACAGCACCAAAGCCTTTTTTGCCTAGAGCAGGATTTGTTATGACATAACTGGTTAGTCAAGCTTTGAAAAACAAGCTAGGAGCCTAATTTCCCTTGGCATATTAACTTTTTTGCCTCAACCCACTTTTACCATCTGGTGTCGCAGTATACCTCACAACACAAGTCCTCCACAAACTACTATAAATTAATTTTGTGAAATTGTTGCATTTAGAGCATATAAATATCGAAAAGAAAGCACATACTGGTGTGAACATAGATGAACACTAACACAGAGCTCTGTGTGCACAGTTATATTTGGGTACATAAACATTAGCCAGAGAAGCAGGCAGGTTTAAATGGAAAGATTTTTAAAATTTAATTCAGTTGATTTTGATTTTGAGTTTTATTGCTCATTATATGATAATTTAAGGGCTACACTTCTAAGTAAAACATTCATTTCTGATGATGAGTTGTGTTTTCGGAAGAAACCTTCTTTATGACATACAGATTTGATTCGTTGAGATTCTGATTGACAATAAAATTATTCATTTGCAATGTAATATTATATGTAAGAAGTGTTGTTTCACGTGTTTCACCACAATTAATAGATAAGATAAAAACTACTGTAACAAACTATACTATATGAAAACATACACACAAACACCCACACACCCACACCACTAGCAAATGTGTAGATCGTCAAAACTTTACAAACATCTTAGAGGAACATTTTTTGGCTAGTTGCTGAAATGAAGTTTAATTAGTGTACGTCTGATTAAGATTTAAAGTGCTTGGCCTGAGGGTGACTAATTCTGTCTTTACTCTGAGTACTTGATTGTTCAACTACTTTAATTAACTTCACTGTCATACAGAGAGTGAGGCTGTGTGTGCATGTGTGTGTGAGTGTGTGTGTGTGTGTGACAGAGAGCAGTTCTCAGTTATCACTTGGCCAGAAGTCTTTAGCAAACCAATACTGAACGAATTGGATTGTATCTCCCCTTCTATGAACCTTCACCACACCTCGCTCTCTCACCACATAAACCTTGCAATTAAGGTTAATGAATTCACCTTCATGATTAATCCAAGATTGGTATCAGACACAGATAAATTATATTTCAGGATTGGCAAGACTTGGAGTGATTTTTTGCTTAAGGCAAGGGGAAATTAAACTAACATTGTAATATGTTAGGTTCAAGGGATGACAATTATTTTCTGTCAGAAAATGGTTCAAAACGTGCACACTTTAGATCATTTGCATCAGCTGTGATGCATGAACAAGTTGGATAATGTGTGATAGTTTTTTTTAAATCATGTTGTAATCTAATGAACCAACAGAGGGTGCTATAGTATTGTGCATGAAAGCAGGACAATGACATTTGATCAGCCGCCCTTCATCGCACTTCTCTCGTCTGTTTGGTATGTAGGAGCAGACCCGACAGTGAAGGAGGCATTTACTGAAAATGGGGTGCGGTCAAGAGCTTAAGATGTGCTAGAACTTCTCTTGGATGGGCTGATGATCATTTAATGGTAATCAGTAACTGCAGCACACAGAGCACACACTAATATATATCTGCTTTTATTTCTTATCCATTGTTCCTAAGGGCAGACAAGCCTCACTATTGACACAAAGCCTGACACCAGCTTGCTTGGCCTAATTGGCCTCAAGACCTCTTGTTGGTGTGATCTATTGATCAGTCTCACTGCAGATGCTGCTAAGTCACAAGGAGAGGACAGCGAAATAGCCAGATATACTGAAAGTAAGCAGTGCCAAATCTGGGCATGATGTCTTAAGCTTTGCTGCTCCCTCCGCAGAGCTGTGCAGCAAGCAAAGATGATGATAGGGTCTTCACCCTGAGGTGCAGGGGTCCAGATCCTTGCAACAAGCTGATTCACACACACTGATTGTCCTTTATTTTTACCAAGGGGATGATGGCACCAACAAATGGAGGTTTCTGAATGCTTTGACCCCCAGAGATCTATAGACACTGTCTGCTTTAACAATCCCACCAGAGAGAGCGAGATGAAAACTCCTCCACACTCGCAAGATCCACTTTTTGTTTGATACCTCTGCGGCAAATATTAGGAGAGAAAAAAAAAGAGGCAGCAATGAGATTGCCACCGAAGAGCCCTTCTGGGGCAGGGGTGAGCGAAATGGTATGCATGCTGATCTTGTATCAATCAGCACAAACATCCCATACACGATTATTTTTGCCGGCACCTTCAACCTCCTTTCCATTCACATTCAGATCCCATCATCTCATTCTCATCTATTTCCATTTCTCCTCCTCAAGCTCTCCCTTCTCTAGTAGTACAGTCATTTCAATGTAAATAGTGTCTATGCTTATCTACCTCTTAATCCTCCTCCCCCGTTCTGTACACCCTTCCCTCAAATCCCGGAAAAACTCATAAGAGAAACATACGTATGTTTATGAGGCCTGCCACACAATACGTCCTTTGCTACCTTGTAAAAGGCAATGCATTCTTCTTTATGGGGTGCACAAATTCATATTCTCTACTGTGTGTGAGAGCTACATTCCCATATGGTATTACATTTATGATGCATGACAAGGCTTACAATTCTCCATCTCCTCTGCAGCACACTGCAAGTAACCAGAGCTGTCCAAAAGTCATGGCTGTGACAACGGGGATCATTATACATTTTTCTTTCTGTGCGGCTGCCTCTCTGTATTCCTCTCCATGACTCCATGAAATCTGTCTTTATCCCGCCGTGTGAGAGTATAGCTACCAGGTGCCAACCAAGCTCTTCTCTGGGTGGTGGTGTTGGAATGAGCGTCCACTCTTGGACCTTTTCACCAACACACAAACTTACACGTATGTGTGCACACGTTCAAGCCAACCCGCTGATCCTGCCTCCTGTTTTATTGTCAATATCAGCTGGCTCAGGGGCTGTAGGGGTTGACGGCTGCTGACAGGGGCTGGATTGTAGAGGTAAAGATGATGGCAGCTCTTGCAGAGATAGAATAGCTGTATCTTGAGACCCCTTGGAGGGTGTTATTAGGCTGTTATAAAATCTGCTCCCTATCAGACCTTCACCAAAGCAAAGGGGAGGATATATCCAGATGCAGTGCAAAGTACAAGTGTTGAGTCTCTACCTTCCTCCTATAGCTTCCCCTTATCTACCCCTCTACTTCCTTCTCTCACACACAAACACACATTTCTCTTTAGTTTCCTACCACCTGTACCTGTGTTTTTTCAGTCAACACAGCCTGCAGTCTCCCTGACTCTTTGCACAAAGGAATTGTTTTATCATATAAAAAGGGACTCTAATCTTGTTTGTTTTATATTTCATGAACATATACACCTCAAGGCTTGCAGCATGCACTGCATCATGACACCTTAACCTGCTGTCAGGACACGATTCCTGAACACACACAGATCATACCAGCAGTACTATCAGTGCTGCTGTAAAATCACTTTAATGTGTCAGCCGTTATTACAAAGAAATACACAAAAGTGTGCATACATGTACTCTGCACAATGTGGCAGGAGAGTGTGAAGATGCATGCATAACCCTTCAGTTCAGAGCGATACACATATTTGTACATCCAACAAGTAAGCAAGATCAAACAAAACAATCTGTTATGTTGAATAAATTGATATTTTCAGTGTATCCACAGCACAGCCACAAAAGTCAACATTCAGGCTATTTCACTTTTTGTATGCTTTCATTTGATGGCATACAACTTTACTATTTCATGCTAACAGGACGGCTCTATGGCAATGTTGGTCTGTCTGTTGGTCCACCGCTTTGGTCCTGAAATATCTCGACGACTATTGGAAGCATTGGTGCAGACATTCATTTCCCCCTCAGGATAAATTATACTACCTGTGATGATCGTCCGATTTTTCATCATCCAATAAAAATGTGTCCAATAATTTAATTTACCACGTTTGCAAATATATTGACATTCTCACTAGCCTCAGCTGTACTTTGTATTTTGCTCTAATTAGCAAACAATTGGCAACAACACACTAAACTAAGATGGTGAACATTTGTACTTACCAAAAATCAACATGTGTCATTGCATTTAGGTCAAAGCACAACTGTGATGAAGTGCAGCCTCACAGACAGGAGCGGATCTAAAGAAAGAGAAGGGCATGGAGACTTTAACAATCACACATATCAATGTCAAAGATATTTTAACTAAAAAACAATAGCTTATTGAGGCACTTTAGTAAAGCATTGAATAGAAATATCTAAAGGTGGCAGCAGAAATCAACAAACTAAATTATATACAAATATTCAGACATTTTTCCAAATACATGCCTATCACTTAGTCTTAAATGAAAACAGATCATTAAATTATTTTCCGTTTTTTAACATATTATTTTTTAACTGGAGTAGACATTTTCTAGGGGTGGCCACCCAATGCCACCCCCCTAGATCCGCCTCTGCTA